CGGGGGGCAGAGGGGGCAAGGGAGAGCCCCTGGCGGGCGGCCCCGTGCTCCTGGCCACGAACACCACACACCGCGTGCTCTTTTCCACTCCTTTTATTTCCACAATCCCGTTCGCGCTTTGGTCACAGCTCTGAGAGGTTTTTGGTAGCTGTTTTGTTCTTTCTGACTCGAGCCCCCTTTCTATAATATTATAAAATTATACAAGAACAATAATCCTCAGCAGCTAATAAATAGATATTTGTTAGTTCACAAAGTTAAAGTGCTTTGAGAAGAAACGTAACAAGCTCTACTCTAGGCTCCGAAGGTTGGTGTGGAAACGTAGTGCAGTAGGCACCTCTGGCCCGTTGCCCGTAGCCTGCGGTCATAAAACCACGCGGCGTGTCTGCCCCTAGCCAAGAGATCCTGGGACTCAGCTCCCCAGCTGCCTGCGCCGCCTGCCCGGTGCTCGTCCCGCTCCAGTGCTCCTGAGCATCTCTGAGCAGGCGCAAAGCACGACCTGTTGTCGCCGTTAAAGGTAAGTGGAAGCATGTGATATGATGTCCCTCCATTACGTGGCTGGAGGCTGGGTGTTTTGGGGGCCAAGAGGGCTGGAAAAGGCTTGGACAAGCTGTGGGATCGGCCCTGGCACGCAGGCCTAGGGAGAGAATCCCAATGTTCACAGTTTAGTCTTGCTAAGAGGCCTCAAAGGCCAAAGGGAAGTAACTGTGGTGCTACCCCTTCTCCTCCCTCAGCACCCGCTGCGAGGGAGAGAGGCAGATCTGCTCCTGGGCGGTGGAAACGGGAGCAGCCCCTCTGCTCTGCTCACCTGTTTGCAGCGCCCCGAGATCTGCAGCCTGTGTCCTCTTTCCCTGAGGAAGCCCGGTCCCTCGCTAGGAGGAAAGGTGCACTGGAAGCAGGCTCTGTCTGCTGACCACAGATAAATGCCCTTCGCTGCCTGCAGAGGACTTGTGCGTCTGAATTTCTTCCCAGGGCCACCCTGGTTCTGGTTTGGGCTCCCCTTCCCATCTCCAGGAAATTGAGCACCCTTTGGTCTGTCCTTCCCCACCTGCCAAATCTAGTCATCCTCCAAGTCTTTTCCATGCAAAACGCTAACTCTGTGCCTGGCCCTTCCTGCAGGTTACCAGTGCTAGTTCCTCCCCTGTCCACAAAAAAGCAAAATGCTCCCAGGGTCCGATTCTTCTGACGCCTGTGCCCAGGCCAGGAAGGGACTCATAGGTGACATGGAGAGCGTTCCAGGTGCTTGACAACTCAAACAGATGTTAGCAACTAAAACCCTGGAGGCATCAGTCTTCACTTGGAGAGTCAACCAGTTGGTAAGGCCAAGGGCTGGCTCCTCTTCTTCATCGCATGCATGTTCCCAAAGAGAAGAGTCACCAAGCCCTGAGGATCAGTGCATGCACATCCGCATAGTCCCCTGAACAAAACTGGCACCCAGTGCATGCTCACAGGGATTACCAGCACAGAGCTACCAGCAAATGTTGGGGGAGAGCCCGAAGCCACCCCATCAGCATTGCTGGGTGCAGTGAATATCTGCTGCGTATTAGGATACCCCTTCCCTCCCTGCCCCAACCCCTGCTCCATCTGGCCTTGCAGTCGCATCTTCTTCACAATGCCTGAGAGCCACCTCTTCCACCAGGATCAGAAATGAAGGGGTTGCTGCCCAGAGTGGCAGGACCCCTTCTGGGACGGTCGAAGAGTAATGTCCTAAGAGCGACTAAGAGAATGGGAATCTCGCCTCAGGAGCGGACAGCAAGTCGAGAAAGAGCAGCAGCAGATTGGAAGGTGGGAATGTGATCCTGTCACGTTCAGTGGAAGAGCTCCACCAACATCACCATCAGAAGCAGTTGCAACCAGGAGCCAAATGTCATGGTGGCCTGGCCCTTCTGTGACATGAACCTGAACTGGTTCACCAGACATTCCTTCACCAGAGCCTGCCTGAAGCCATCCTCCTCAGAGACGCAGACATAGCGGCCATAGTGAGCGTGGCTCACGTTCTGGATGAAATGGAAGCAGTCCTGCTGGGGGTGGGTGTTATTACAGGTCTTGATGAGGAAGTCGTTGTGGTACCAGTTGTAGGTGGCATAGTGCGACTCGACAGGACAGTTGAGGTAGTAGCGAGAGAAAGGGACTACTGTGATGTTCTGGTAGTTGTCTGCTGGAAGAGATTAACAAGGGTGGAATGAGATGGGTGTCTCCAGGAACCATGGCTTCCTCCCCAAGTCTGGAGGGAAGAACTGTCAGGCTGATGGTGACATGTTACACAGCCATTTAGGGATAATAGTGGGGCGTGACCCACAGCCAGTGAAGCCAGTGTCCAGCCACTCTTCTGCCTGGACATCAGTGGCAGACAGAGTCTGAGCCCTCCCACTCGGCTCAGAAGACCACATAACACAACAGCACTGGCTCAGCCTCACCACAGAGGTAAAGTGAGGCCAAACCAGATGGTTTACAGCAGTGTAGAGGTGTCCAGATATGCTGACAGTCCCCTGGACATGAAGACCTATTAGAGAGTTCATTCTGTTTGCCTAGTACTCAATTTGCTTGATTTAGGGTAGGAGGTGAAATATTTTGTAGCGTCTTCTCCGTGGTGCCCAGTGACAGGACAAAAGGCAACGGGCATAAACTGAAACACAGGAAGTTCCATCTGAATATGAGGAAAAACTTCTTTCCTGTGAGGGTGACTGAGCACTGGAACAGGTTGCCCAGAGAGGTTGTGGAGTCTCCTTTCCTGGAGATATTCAAAACCTGCGTGGGAAACACGCTCTAGAGGACCCTGCTTGAGCAGAGGGTTTGGACTAGATGATCTCCAGAGGTCCCTTCCAACTTCAACCCTTCTGTGATTCTGTCTGCTGGCTCAGCAGAGTTGCAGACTCAGCAGGGTCACTTAGGATCATGCCTGACCATCTTAGTCTCAGACTAAGGGTCATCAAAGTCTGTGGTTATCAGGCTTGTGGTATTGTATACTGAAGGCTTGATTAATATTTGAGTAATGCTCTTTTTTTCATTAACAAGTATATTGCACAGTGGTTAAATAAGCATTTATTCATGCTAAAAACTGACACTTGCCTGGTGTCTCCATCTCTCAGAATACTCCCACTCACGGTGGTCCCTAGTTCCCCAGAAATGAGTTGCAATATTTCCCTCAGCCCGTACAAACATGAGAATCAGTCACCCTGCCCCAGATTCCCTGGGTGCACATGGCCTACAGCTCAAGCCTTTTACTTACCTTCCTTAACTTTACCCCCTTGGCACTTTTCTTTCCATGAGCCCAGGTTCAGGTTTTGAAGCACCTCCCTAGCAGATGGGAGCAAGAATTAGCAGCGTGCTAACATCAGGGAAGCAGCACGTTCAGGCTAGGAAAGGATTTACCCATAAAGGATGCGATGGATCCTTTAACTTTTTGGGGGGCAAGAAGTTAAACCCACTGTTTAAACACCTGGTACTACCCAGGTAGAGAAAAATACTACCTCGCTTAAGAGGTTGGTGGATGATAAATGCGAGACCAAACAACTCACCGCAATCGACCACTTTAAACAGCATCGTGGCCAGATTACAAAGCAGCAGAGCTTACTTCTCATCCATAAGGGCAGGCAAAACAGACCAGAACCTCTGCTCTGATGGAGTTATGCATGTTTCTACCAGCAAAAGAGGAGCTGGGTGCTCAGCCAGGTCATATGAAACCCATTCACTTCTTCCCCAGCCCAGTGCAGGGGCACTGTGGGAGGGTCAGATTCCTGCAGAGGTGCGGTTGCAGGGGACAGCACATAGATGTCTGTGCTGTTACTGCCTGGACACAATGGGCCCAGGTGTCTCTGTAATGAGAAGATGGCCTCAAAACCATGTTTGAATATGGCCAGGAAGGGAAATACAGAGGGGGTGGGTACTTCTCATGCTAAAGCAATCAGATAAACGTGCTGGAGAAAGAGCAAGCAGAAAGTCAGTACCACATACCGGCCTTGATACACTGACTGACAACGCCCATCAGACCACCCGCAATATGGGTCCCTTGCCAGCAAGCAGCTCTCACAGTTGTTACGATACACCCCACACATGTCCATGGGTATCTCCATGACTTTATCTGTTGAGCCCACATACAGCATTGCCTGTAGGAGGAAAGCAGAGCGGTTGATCATTGCAGCACTGTGTCCCAGTGCCACCTTACAAAGATCTCACTAGAAATGTTCCCACAGCTCTAATCATTGTGATACTGGGGTGGATTTCACCAGGGCCCCCAGGCAACGTAGCCATATACCGCTTGCCCTAGATCATAGGGGGGGAAGCAGCCATCCTTTCCCCATCTGCCCCGTTTATAAGTTCGCTCCATCAGTCACAGCAATGTTGTCACCTCCGGGGTGGAGCACCAGCACTGTTTGACAGCCCAACGGCCGGCAAGGCCAGATGGGAGGGAAAACGCAGGGGGAGCAAATCCCAGCACTGTGCAGGGATTTGACCCAGGAAGCAAACAGCCTTGTTCTTCCATTGTCTCCAGAAGAGTTGCCAGAAAGGCTCCTTTGCCCGCTGCCTAAACAGACATACAGTTACCAGGACCGGGGACATCAGCTCAGCTGTTAGGATTTAGCACAGCACACTGCCTGCCCCCCGCGAACCCACTCGGCAGCTACTTCCAGATTTAAGTGCTGGCATTCGGTTGTCTGTCCTTGCCTCTCCTGTTGACAGCTTTGTAAGTGACAGCCTGATTCACTGTTTTGCTTTCTGTTACAGAGCAGGCAGAGACCCACCTTCTGGTGGTCTAGGATCATGGACTGGATCGGGTCCTTCTTTGGGAAGACCTGGAGCTCCACGATATTCTGCACCCCGTCCGGCAACTCCACAACCTTGTGGATGGATCCCTTGTCTGGAAAGAAGGAGCGGAGAGCCCTGATGAGCCATGCAGGACTGAATGACAAAGCAGAGGGACTGCAGCCAGGGCTGGGAGAAACAGGCAAGGCCAGCTTTGTTATTTCAGCCCATGCTGTGGCAGACGATAACCAGTCTGCAGTGCCCGGCTTGATCATATTCCTGAAACCAGCCACCCAGAGGAGACTGTACCAGTAAATAGGACCTTTCTCAGAAGCAGCTTGCTTGTTTTGCTAGGAAATAATCTTCCAAACAATAGTGCTTCCCACAGCAGAGCCTTGTCATCCTCCAGAGCCATGAGAAACTCATTTTCCTCGTTGCCTTTCAGGGCCTGGCTGTGCCTGCTTTGATCAGCTGCACTTTAATAGCCTCAGCAAGAAAAATCAACTGCCCTCTAACTCAGCTCTGCTTTGATCTTGTCTGAACCTTACCTCCCTGCTCGCCTGAGGCAAAAACTAGATTCTTCCTTCTAAGTAAACTGCCTCTCCTGCCCAGTTAAATGACTCCAGAAAATGGTGATTTAAGAAAACAGGTCAGTTTGGTAGGGAGGGGTGAAAAGATTGATCCTGAGGGAACAGGACTTGGGAATGTTCACTGTTTAATCTTCCTCAAGTACTTGCACGGTCTCCCCTTTCCAAATAGCAGCTCCCTTCTCCACCATCAACCAGGAAGAGGTAAAAGTTGTGACTCCAGGAAGCCTAGGGCAGACAGGGATTAGGACTCACCTCTCCCACCCCAACTGCTATCCTCAGTCAGCTGCTGCTCTCCTCCCACCCCAGCCAGGGCGGGAGGCTGCCCTGCCAAGCCCTGCAGCTTGGAGCAAACTCCCTAAAGGGAATCTAGAAGACATTAGCTACATTTAGCTAAGGCTTTCTGCAAGATAAGATAAATCTGAGCACAGGTGGGCCCTGATCCAACCCAGGCCACTTACTGAGACTTGTCTAGGTTTTTATATCACAGATTAGGAAAAAAAAAAAAAAAAAACCAAAAAAGGCCCAGAAAGTCCCTCCAAAAGTGCCAACTCTGTTAGAGTGAGCAAATCCCAGCACAATGCAGAAAAGGGACGAGTACAGCTGTAGGGAGAAACTCTGGAGAGCCAGTAAGGCAAGAGAGGGAAGTGCTGGGTTAGGGTGCTTCGCAGCCTCTAGGCAGCAAGTAGCTAAACTGCCTGAGAACCCAGACAGCCCATCTGACTGTGTTCTCCAACTTCACACCGAGGACAGCCGTTTTGCTGTGCCTTCCTGTTCATCTGCAGCTGAATCTCAGCCTTGGCCCAGCACCACCAACAGCCATGATCAGCTGGCTGCCTCGAGCTGGAGGTGCTGGTGTAGCAGGAAGCCTGCACTGCTGCCCTAGAGCAGGCAAGGACAGGAGATGACAGAGTGGGCCCCTTCTCAAAGGATCCCTGCTTGACAGTGTAAAGCTGCAGCTGGGGAGGGCCCTGTGACCCCTCACTTGCCCTAAAAACATGCGACCTGTGACCTACCACAGGCTGAAGCAGCCCAACAGGGTAAACCCCACTCTGCTTCCAGCCTGTCTTTTGCCTACCCAGCCAAAACTGGATGTATTTAGCTGTACTGGGACGTGGCAGCTCTTCTCCGCTTGACAAAAAGATGCCAGGCTGGGAGAAACACAGCACCTCCCTCTGCTTCTGCCTCTGACACTGCCTGCCTTGTGTTTCCTGCCCTCGAGGGGAAGCAACTGGGTGACCTCAGGAGGAACGGTTCCTGGTACCTGTTGCCAGATAGAGCACGTTGTAGCGACGTCCATCGGCTGCAGAGACCTCATGCACCCCAATCTTTTGGTAGCGGTGCTTGTTGTGGAATAAGGGGCTTTTGGTGGGGGCAAGGGGCTCCACTCGGTCCTCCACCTCTGGGTGGCTGTCGGCTATCTTGAAGGTCTCGCTTGGGGTGTGCTGTCCAGAGGAAACGCACTGCGCCAAGAGTAAACAAAAGCCACCATCAGTCAGACAGATCCCTGGGGACGAGACCTGAGGGCAGGAGAGCAAGACAGGACAAACTTGCCCTACAGCCTTCCTCACCACCTGAGACAGTTACCCAGCTCTCACCTGGCTGTTCAACGGTGGGACTGTCCCCTCACCTCTCCAAGCTACTCTGAGGATAGCAGGGGCAGAGCAGCAATGAGTTCTCCAGCCTCACAGGGCCCCTCCACCTTATGTGGGCATCTTCTATCACTCACTCACCTGTCCAGGCTTGATATCCGGGTTGGGACCATTATAGCCTTTGAGTTTGGATGTCCGAAATACATTGTCAATGTCCCCAAAGGAATAGACACAAACAGCAGAGCTTCCCCTGTGGGCAACAGGACAAAGAGAAGGTCAGTGAGACACTGGCCATCATCCCTATGGATGGGGCATGGCTGCGTGTGCCTTTGTTGACAAGGTTCTGGCTGTTCTCTACTCATGAGAGAATGAAGAGCCGAAAGAAAAGACTTGGCCCATGGGACAGGGCCGCCCCCATTTTGTGAAGACCCTCACCAGGTGTTTGTGAAGAGCCCATAGACTTTGGAATCCCTCCAGTTACTCGACGGGACAAAGAAGACATCTTGCAACCAGTTGAAGTTGCCCTTGGTGACCGGGTCGACACAAATCAAGCTGGCCTTCAGGAAGGTGGTCCACTTGGAAGCAGAGAGCGAACTGGTTCCCCCTTTATCTTCCTGGGAGAGGGGGAAAGCAGGGAGTCAGGGTCTGGCAGGGAGGAACACAAAGCTCCCCCCGCTCAGCATCTTGGATGGACGACTGGAGGATGTCCCAGGGATATATTTGACCCTGGTCACTGCAGCAGATGTACACCTCTCCAGCATCCCAATGAGACAGGACAGGGCTCTTTCACCCCTACCGCCGATGTGGGAGCCAAGGACAGGAAGGCCTGAGGACATGGCCGTGCCCCACGTGAACCCTGTGGCAGAGTAGAGAATTGAGCAAGAGGGGCCATGCGCTCACATGCTGACAGCATCAGGTGAGCTGGTGTGTTCATCTGCCACCCCTGTAACACACTTCTCTCCCCACCATACACTGCTCACATGTACCTTACACAGCTGGGCCACGCGGGAGATGTTTCTGGGTGCCTCAGGACTTTTGTCTGGATTGTCTTCACGAAAGAAGTAGTAAATCTTGTCCTGGTGAGGCTCTTCATGCCTTAATGTGGTTGCTTTGACAAACTGGGGGTCTGAAACGGGACATGAGCCATCAGAAAGCCCGGACCTGAGCATGGCACGTTTCAGGAATGCAAGCTCATCTGAAAGCCACCAGTCAGGAACAAACTGGTGACCTCTGCAACTAAGCAGTCACCATCAGACAAGATGAGGAAATGCATAGACCGCCTGCTCCAGGCAAAGGACAGGTCCAAGCCCATTCTCTACACCTGACCAGTCACAGATCCCTGGGTGCAGCACATGAACGCTTGCTTTTCATGTGCCACCTCCCTGGTGGGGATCCCCTTCCTCTTCCTCCTCCCTCTTCGTGCATCCATTTCCTTGAAGGCCAAGTCCCCAGAGCCCAGTGAAGTGTTGGTTGCTTAGCAGCAAAGGAAATCCGCTCTCCTCTCTGGCGCAGGGGAACTATAACTATATAGGAAGGCTCCGTCAGTGGGAGAGCAAGCTGCACTGTTTGTGTTTGGTGTGGAAAACCCAATGATGCTTTTCCTATTAATACACCACTGCCACAAAGGGTATCCCCAGCAGTGGGGGAAAGCTAGTGGGGTCCCTCCGAGCATCGTTAGTCGGTGTTTCCATGGCAGGATGTTCTGCTTAATTAGGTGTTTGGCCTTTTGGCCTCATGGCTCTGGGTCCATCAGCTTCGTTTGCTGCTGCCTTGGTTCTCCTCCTCCCATGATCCCAGATGCTTAAGTCCTGTCTTGCCTTGGTGTTATTTTGATTTGATTTTTGTCTTTGGCCAGATGTGCAATAATATCCCATTCCCAAGTGTCATTGGGGAGGCTTGGGGGAAGGCAAAGTAATAAGCCAATGGCTCACGGAAATCAAGGGAGGTCCTTTCCCTCTGTTACCCCCTGTCCCATGCACAGCCCAGCCTGTTCCTGCCTCATGATCTCACCCTGGCTGGGGATTTGGAAAGAGTCATTTTCCCTGCACCAGTTTGACCAGAGTGGAAGTTCTTCTTCCTGTTTCCACCACCACATAGCAGCTGCTGGGCACCTTTACACAACTATATTTCCTTCCAGCATCTGACATGGAACTTGCTGTCCACTTCTCTCCATTTCCCAATCTCTTCCCTCCCCACCCCAAGCAAGAGTAACTCGCTTGTCAGTTGTTTTGGCCCAGAAGCAAAGAGCTCAAATTCCCCTAGCTGGTAGCAACAGAGCTGGAGGGGGCTGCTGGGTCCCTCCTTGCCAGCATTGCAGACGGGGACCAAATCAGCCCCGACCACAGCTCTATCCTAGGAGTGAGTAAACCCAGGCTGGAAGCTCTGGAACTGAGACCCAGCTGGGCACAGAGGATGTACCCCTCCAAGTTGTGCTGTGTACACAGCATGCTCCACAGCTGTGGACTGACAAGGAGTCCAATTCATGCGCCTGATGGGGCAAAGCAGCAGGTCCCACTCCTTCAGAACCTCCCTCATACTCACTCTGCATCACTGTGTCACTTGTGTAGAGCTCTCCACCCCCTCTCACTCGCCGGAAACGGGGTATCTTGCCATTCTGCTGGCTCTTCTTGATGGTGGAATAGATGTCATGACCTGTGGGACAGGAGGGTTCATTTGCAATAGGCTCTTTCCAGAAGGGGCAGAAGGGTTTGTGAGAAGAAGGTCAAGAACCAAGAACAATCTGGAGAAGGGGTCGGCCAAGAAGACTCACACAGCTGGTGAATACAGATCACCAAACCCAGCGCTCACTGTCTAGTGCTGAACAGGCCTGGCAGAACTCCCCCGGGGATACTCTTGAGCTTCTTCCTCACAGAGCAGCAGGGATAAATCCTTGCTCTGCCTCTGGAAGGGAGTGCCATCTCTTCCTCTACCAGGTCCTCAGCCACTTCAGCAGTGGAGTTACTGCAGGGCTTTCTCTTTCCTCTCCATTACCATTGCAGTCTAGCTTCCTGAAAAAGACTCCACCCCCTTCCTCAGGACATGAATAAACAACCTTGTGCCACGTTCTGTCCTAGAAGTGCATGCATTCACAAAGGGCAAAGCAAGAAGCACTGGGGTCGAACCCCAGCTAGAGCAGAGGGATGTAGATCCTGGAACAGCCTCAAGGTTTCCAGGTGTCCCTGCGGGGCTGTGGAGAGCCTAGCCCTCCCACGTGTTGCTGCTGTCACGGACATGCAAGCATTCAAACTTACCATCAACAATGACGAGGGAATTTGAGTCAGGGCTGAAAGGGGCAATACCTCTCCCATCCCATGGAGAGCCCTTCTTCTTTTGTTCCTGGGGAAGGACAGAAATCGCCCCTAAGAAGTGCAATCTGCTGGGCAGTTCAGGAAGGAGAGAGCAGCCAGACACCTATGTCTACCCCGGGGCAGGAGGAACGCAGCTCTCCTTGGCTGGTGCAGCCTGAATGAGGGAAGGCCATGGCCTATCTTCGGATGCAGGCGAGGAGAGGGGGATTATGGTAAGTGAGCGCAGAGGTGGCTGGCATCACCTTTGGCTCATATGGACCTCTGTTCATCTGTGCTGTCCCAAGCTCTCATGATAAGCTCCTAGCTGGAGCTTGCATCTGGGCGCTTCAGAGCACTTGAAGAAGGAAGCGGGTATCAAGGCCTCATTTTATAGATGGAGACTGCAAACACAAAATGATGAGTGCTCTGCTCCAGTCCCAACACAGGCAGACACGTATACAAACAGATATATGTACTTCCTGATCCCTTGCCCCTTGTTCTATGATTTAAACTGTTATGTGGGCACTAAGGACTCCTGAGCTCTATTTTGGCTTTGGGCCCACTCCCAAACTGTACCACAACCCCCAGACATGTCCCACGACTCCCGACTGTCCAGTGGAGAGGACACCAGACAGAATGGGACAGCCCAGTTCTAGTCCCATCAGTCAGCCATGTGCTAGGGTGTTACCAGCATACCCAGTGCCAGCAGGTAGGAGAGCAGGCGCCGGTTCCACACACTAACATCCCGTTTCCATGCTCCCCCAGTAACGTGAGGTAATTTTTATCATCTTCCTGTAAGAGAAAAAGAGAGGAATAGGAGTGGCTGTGAATGGCAGAACATGACAGAGCAGCTCTAAGTGTAAGGCAATACACTTAGACCTACACTTACACTTACACACACAAGCTCCAAGCTATGTGGCTTCCTAGTTTTTCACAGATGTTTAAACCAGAGGAGGAATTTGTTATCATCTCATCTGACGTCCCACTCCAAAGGTACTGGAGGACTTCACCCAGAGTGAGCGTGTCCTCCAGCCCTCATCCAACCAGCCACCTCCAGCGGCCTCTCCTATGCTGCTTCACCACATGTAGGACCTAGTCTCTTCCTTAGAGCAGTATATGAGTCCGTATAGAGCAAAGCACTGCCTGTGAAACCACCTCCCAGCATTTCTCAGGGAGCTCCAGGGAACCTACCAGACCTCCAGAGTTCATGCACTGTCCTTCTTTTATCACAGGGAAGTCTTCCTAGAACAGAAGAGAAAGAGACATGCTTTAATTCCTTCCCCCTCAAAGTCTAACAGGAACTCAGTCCCACGGACATCACGCTACTCGCTCTCTCAGCGAGAAGCGAAGCAAATAAGTCTGCAAGAGGGCCATCAAACACTGGAACTCAGCCCTTTTCCCCACCTCAGTATTTGAAAAGCCTTGAGGAGGCTGGGCTGGCAGGACTGGACCTCTCCAGCCCTGATGGGATGGGAAGAATTGGGAATGCAGGGCCAAAGTGGCAGGCATGACTGGCAACCAGCCTGGGCTGCTCTCCAAAGGGCTTCAGGAGAGGATCTGTCATTGCAGGGAGTGAGTGTTCAACAGTGGGTGGTGGGTTTCTGAGGATTGGGACACATTAACCACTATGCTTCTGGGAACAAGAAGGGAAATTTCTGGGCACAAACTTCAGGAACTGGCTAGAGAAGGACCAAGAAGAGGTCATGAGAAAACCAACCACCCCAGGGATTTTCCTGCTGGACTAATTCAGTGCTCAGCTGATCCAGAACGCACTGCTTTCAAGGAAAAGCAGCCTGGTCTGTGACAGTGGTAGGGGATGGGAACAAAACTTTTTCCTAATCACATGACTCTCAGCATCCGTTTCCATGCTAAAGAAAGAGTCCTCCATCTGAAAAATCCTTCTCCCGGGGCAGCAAAGACCTCAGGAAGACCACAGCCTGGGACAACTAGCTGTGGGCCCAGCACCATCTTTCCTCTGCTGCTCTCTTGCGGTCTCTGCTGCTCAGATTGTGGAAACAGGAGGGACCATAACAACTCCCAGGTCCTCCATGAAGAATCCACCCACAGTTAGCGTAGGAGACCTCCCCCTTGTTGCAGCCATTGAGCGCAGTGATGTTGTAGCTTCCCAGATGGATGGGGTAAGCTGCGCATAGACTGGACACTACCAGTCCTGACCTTGCTGCTGGCAAAGGCATTGAGCAAGATATCTAGAATCTGGGCTGTGAGATGGTGGCTGAACAGTTTCACACGGGGCTCTGGTGCCAAACTTGCTGGCATAGCATCCTTACCGTGTACGTCTCATAGGTTGCAAAGTCATAGTAGTAAAGCTTTCCCTCTCCTCCAACGAAGATGGCTGAGCTGTTTTCTTTATGGTAAAAGACAGGATATTTCTCACTCGTGGGAAAGACATACTCTCTTGCACCTAGGAACACCACAGAGAAGAGACTCATCAGGGAAACCACTCACTATGGAGAGCGCTCACAGCCAGTTCAGGCTGATCAGCTCCAACTCCCACAGGTTGTCCTCCATGTGAGTAATGAGAAAGGCCGGGCCATGAGACATAGCTTAGGAGCTCTCTGGGATGGCTGGCCCAGCACCAGGCAGGCAGGGGAGGAGCTGTACTATTGTCCTGTTTTCCCCCAGGGACAGCGGAGATCCCTAAATGATGGGAGCGTACAGAGGCCCTGCCCGGCTCCTGCAGGGCTGGTGATGGAGGACAAGGAAGGGGAGGCGAAACTTTGACACAGGAGACCCTTCATGGAACAAGTACCTCTTCAAGGTGATCGGCTACAGGTAAAGGAGTTTGGCCGCTCATTTTTAGGCACATCAGAGTGCCCACCAGCTGAGCAGCAGAGATGCATCCTCTCCTTCTGGCTGGGTAACCCCTCATTGTGCCCTTATGCCCTGATCACTCGCCCTGGGATGTCTCCACTGCTATGCCGTGGAGCAAAGACCTTGGGCTGATTGCTCGTGGCTCCTGGGCTCCTTCCCCTCTCTGTCTGTCCTCCAACAACAGCTCCAGGCTACAGTTGCCTTGCAGATTCAGGTCCTGCACCGGCAGGAGCCTGCATTTCACACGCCCACAGCTTTCTGCCCACTGCTCTGTGTCCTCACACATGCTTGCTTAGAGCTGTGACTTCTTATCTGGCTGAACAGGAGAGAAGCTGCTCCACTGCCTTATAGCTGAGGTAAACCACCCTGTGCTCAAGGAGCAGGAGATCTCCTCGCCAGCCACAGCTCAGCATGGCACCTCTCCTCCCCACAGGGCTCCACGCCCCAGGTGCTAAGGAGAAGTGAGCTGCAAGACCCAGGCCCCTATGTCACAACCCGTCGCTACAGATGGGAGGAAGGACTTTCTGTCCTCACCTCCTTCTTCCTTCCTCTTTCACTTTCTGGCATTTCTGGCATTTCCAGCTCCTGCTTCCTAAAACATCCTCCCCTCCTCTCTGCACTGCCATTGCAGGTGCAGGAGGATGGTGCCAGGGCCAGCTCCTGCTGCCACACTCGGCGAGGCTGCGAGCCCCCTCCCCAATGTGCCCTGTGGTCCCCCTCACCTGGGGCCCACACCTGAGTCCTGTGGTTCTGCATCCCCTCTGGGACAGCACAGGCACATCTGGATGGCTTTGTGCAGCCATGCTCAGCTCTGAGGCAGGGTCCAGCGCGTGGGGCACAATTTGCACCACTGCAGGTTACCTTGCTCCTTTTGCTGCAGCGTGCAGCAACGTGTAACGCAAGAGGGAGCTGAACCATTCAGCTCCTCTCAGGGGATAAAATCTCGGCCCAGACCAGAACTGACCTCTGCTTATGCAATAAGGCACTCCGCTCTCAAGCTTGCCTCTTTTCCCTTTTCTGAAAAACAGGACCTCTCTCCTGGCAAGCGCTGCCTGTTCCCAGCAGACAGACAACGCTACGCCTGCCTCGGGAGTTGGCTGCCTGCACAGACAGGCAATTAATCAGTGGCACGTGTCCCTCATTCTCTATTTATAGGGGCATTTGGCAGGGCAGGCAAAGGACAATCTTTGCACAGCCCAATGCTTCCTCTTTGCCCAGAGCATGCTGCCTAGGGGTCCTGCCAAGACGCCACACTCCCCTGCCTCCAGTAGCAGAGCCCAAAGTGAAAAGATGTATTAGAGGACACTCGGGCTCCTGAATGCTTTATTGATTTCAAGCTTTTTTTTTCCCCCTCCAATTCAGTACACTGGTCAGACTACCTTGGGGTGAGCAAAATCCCCACTTGTGGCTGTGGGGGTGTTCGCAGCCTGGTTCTCTAGCCTGCCGAGGGGCAACCCGCAGCCGGGCTGGCTAGAGAGACAAGCAGAACCTGGCAGCGCTGCCGAGCCTCTAATCCCCACCACGGGGTTAAACGGTACCCAGAGCCATCCCCTTTCCTCTGCAAGCTTTTCTCTCACCGGCTTGGCCGACACGGGGTGCTGCCAGCCATTGCCTGCCCTCCACCTCGTGATGGGAAATGCTGCCGGGGCCCACGGGTTGCTGTTTCGCAAGGACAACTCGGCCACAAAGAGACGGGGGGAGGCATGCCAGCAGCATGCCACGGGCCCAGGTGATGGCTTTTTGCTAACGTAGCCCGCTCAGGCTGCCCTTCTCCTCCGTCACTGGCACCCAGAGGATGGAGGCCACCATGCAGCAGGGCAGCTGGAGGAGTTGGCAGGCAGAAAAGCCATGCTGGAAGGCAGTCCCTGGCTGCTCCCTTTGCCCTCCCCAGTGCTATGGTCTCTCCTCTGTCCAACAACCCCAGGGAGAAACTCTCGAGCATTGCCTCCTGCACAAGCTGGCATTGAGTCTTTTCACAGTGACTGTGCAAAGGAAAGAGTCATTTACCTAAATAGCCCTAAGAGCAGGCCACCAGCTAGGCACGCTTGCTAGCCCAGGCTCTGCATCAGCCACAGACTCGGTCTTAAGCAGATAGCACATGTGCCAGGCAGGAAAGCACTAATCCCCTTTCCACCAACTCCCTGCCTGACAGTCCTAAAATCTCATCTCGGCCCAGCAGGCATGCAACAGCCCACCTAAACTCCTCCTTCCCCATCCAGCTACCACTGCCTGCAAAATCCATCACCAGCATGGCACAGGCAGGTTTGGCTGGATTTCAGCAAACTTTGCTCCTGTTCTCAAACCTCCAGTGCAGCCCTATACTTGCTGCTTACCTGGGAAATACAGGCCTGCAGCTGTTCCCCACTCCTCTTCCTCCACTTCGCCCTTCTGCACACATCTGCCCTGCTCGAGCCTAATTTTGGTTTCGTTTTGAGGCTTTTTCACAACAATGTCTCTTTCCTAAGCTCAGTTTCATAAGGCCCCGAGAGCCGTGCCAAGCTGCTTCCCAGCCAGGACAGCCCAAGGGGTAACTCGCATTTCTCCTCAAACAGCCAGAAACCAAGAAGCTCAAAACAATCATTGGGTTGGCATCAACGTATTGTTTATCCTACTGCTCCTCAGGGACTGGCTTGAATCACTACGCTAAGAATAAACAGCTCTGCTAGCCAGGACCGAGAAGTGTGTTTGCAGTCCCAGCACTGATTTGGCTTGATCTGGAAGGGAGCCTCCTACAAGGCGGCCCTGTGAGTGGGTCCTGGGGTCCCTCTCTGCCTCTGTACCAGCCCTCTGGCTGACCTGCAAAGTTGGCCTTCAGTCCCTGCTCTGCCTTAAATAGCTTGGCTTAGGCAAGGGGTTTGATCCCCTTCACCTCTGTGCCTCATCAGGCTTGGGATCACATCAAGGTGCCCACGCTACGTGGCACCAAAGGAGGGGACACCCCAGTGGCTGGGCCACACCGAGGCAGGGACAAAAGGCAGCTCCCAGGCTAGTCTCATGCGGGTGCTGGTTAGAAGCGACCCGCGGATGCCCCAGCCCAGACCCAACTGCATTTCAGGAGGCAGCGAGTGACGCATCCCCGCTCAGTCTGTAACCCACCAAGAAAAAGGGGTCAACCACCATCTGGGCACGTGCCTCCACCAAGTATACCCGTGCCAAGCTGCGGAGGATCCAGGGATTGCTGCCAGCCTGGAAAGCAGACACACGCAATTCACAGCACTGTTGCATGCACAGAGACAGGGGCTGGATCTGGAAAGGCACAAACCTGTCCTAATCACGCATCTCTCACGGTAAGCCTAAGGCACAAATCTGCCCTAACCACGCACCTCTCATGATAAGCCTAAGGCTGGTTTTGACACTCTGCGAAGAGAGGATCGCACCCTGGTAGGGCGAAGGCATGACCCTGCCACCACCCACTCTTCAAAAGAGAGTCAGGGCCAATTTCCAGAGCCTTGCTAACTCTGTCGGGTTTCTTCGCCTAGCATTTAATGTAAACCCCACCATCAGCACACAAATCAATGGCACAATTGTCAATTGAAATGCTAACCCAAGTCCGGAGCAATGAATAGGAGAAAGAAGAGCTTTGTGCTTTGCAGGCAAGATGGGGAAAACCATGCCAGATTGAACAACAATAATAATGAGGGAGAGGGAAGGAGCCTAGTGCATCTCGGAGGGATGCCTGCAGGGTGAGGTAATGGAGAAGGAGGTAGAGGAAGAGGGAGATGTTCCAGACGAGATGAGAGCAGGGAGGTTGATCTTTAACGCACAAAGAGCAACACAGATAAAAAAAAGGGAGCGATTCTGCCTCAAATCTGGTCGGGGCATAGCAGGGTGAAACAGGCACGACTTGTGCAGAGACCCACGATCATGCTTTAAGGACAAGCAAAAGGGCTTTCTGGCTCCCTTGGGATCTCTGCCTCGGTGGAGCCCACGAGAAAGGAGCCAAGAGCCAGGGCAGTGCCTGGAAACGTGGCCCTGGCCCACGCAGCACAGCCCGTGGCCTCCCCAGCGCCACGGCTAGGTCTGGCTCCCGCTGGCCCGAGGAGCGCAGCGCCCGGGACACGGGGAGAAGGTTCGTTCCTGGCCTCCTTCTCCAAGAGCAGATGTCCACAGCACTTCAGACAGAGAAGCAGCGTGGGCGTTCAGGTCAGTCACAGGACAGCTGAAAAACCCAGCTATAATCCCGGCTTGAGGGCTCACTCAGCTAGGCCAGTCCTTCCTCCCTCTGCCCTCCACCGCTCTCAAGTAGGAAGAAAGCCCCCAGCCCTTCTGGGATGCTGAGAGGCTCCGAGACTGCCAGCTGCTCGCGTTGGTCACTGCCTTGCATGGCTCCGGGCCCCCACAGCGGGGAAAAACGTGCATCTACGATGCACTGGCATTCAGGGAAGACTGTGTATTCCTAAAATGGAGGCAGTTCTTTGAATCTACTATGGCGCTAGCATTTTAAAATGAGGAATTGAACTGAAAGCTTGAGAAAAGGGAAGAAGAGAGAGGTAAGACCCCGCCGCCTCTCTCGGCAATGGTGGCACTGGAGCTGAAAGCAAAGGCTGCTGCCCAAGGAAACCCTTTGATTTCTGCTCATCAGACTCCTGA